TGGTCATTCTGTTGAGGTAAGGAAATGATGACCCAAGAGATCACAGGTTGTCTAGTGTTATTACATAAGGTTTATACTCAGCTATGATTTGGAATTGTATCGGCATGAGGGTTAATGAAAACCCAACCTCCTAGGTCAGGGGTAGTCAACCTTGGCTCTTTTATGACTTGTGGACTTCAACTCCCAGAATTCCTGAGCCAGCTAAGCTGGCTCAGGAATTCTGGGAGTTGAAGTCCACGAATCATAAAAGAGCCAAGGTTGACTACCCCTGTGACCTAGGTTATATTCCACATATGAATGGACTAATTCCGCTGAGCACCATTTAAGCTAGCAGCAAACTTCTGCTTAACTCTTAACTCTGTATCTTAAGCATGTCTTGTGCAAAAATATATATTTAATTCCTTTGTATACAGGGATTTAAAACCCACCTCTCCAGAAAATTTCCTAGGCTAGAAGCAATAAATAGCACTATAAAAATACAATTAAGATAATTAAAGATAAACGTACAGGAAAATTAAAGTCAACCTATTCCCTAGGCTGTTGAATAGAAAATTCTTCATCTTGCAAGAAGAAAAAGGAAAGCATCACTTGAGAACAAGTGGTGTGTGTGCAAAACATTTAGGACAGTGGTTCTCAACCTTTTTAATGCCGCGACCCCCAACCGGTCGTAAGTCGAGGACTAAACCAGTCGTAACTCAAGGACTAAACTGGTCATAAGTCGAGGACTAAACCGGTCGTAAGTCGAGGACTACCCAACCGGTCGTAAGTCAAGGACTTTCCCTGCCCGGGAGCGCCGCGCATGCGTGGTTCCGCCCCCTGCGCCGGCCGAGGCGTAGCTGGCAAGCGGCAGAGACGGAGCAGGCCGACCACCAGCTGGCCCAGCCCAAGGGAGGTAAGGCACCTGCCGGAAAAGGGGAAAAAAATGGTGGACAGCCTTGCTTGGCGACCCCATGAAATGGTCGATCGACCACAAATGGGGTCGCGACCCATAGGTTGAGAACCGCTGATTTAGGATCTCTATCAGTGCCAAAACAGATCCTTATGAGGTCCCGCTATTTAATACCCCAATGCACTTATTTTTTGAAGGAGTTCTTATACTTTAACCAGTTCATAGTCTGTTAGATGATCTGTCCCTTGGCCTACGACATTCATATCTTTTCACTATTTAAAATGGATATTTTCAAGGAACTCTAGTAGATTAATGAGAAAGTATTAATCTCAGTAAGAGCAACATTCAGTCTATATAATTAATTCAGAGTTTTATAATTAGTACAATTTGTTTCAGCTAGAATGGTAGGAAAAGAAACAATGCAACTGTAATACTTCCAGTTTTCCATTGTGGTCCCTGCGTTTCATCTACATGGGTTAAATGCTTGTGAGAACCCTGAACATTTTGGAACAGTATTTCTCAACCTCAGAGATTTATATTGCTTAAGGAATTCTGGGAGTTGAAGTCTACACAGTTTAAAGTTGCTGAAGTTGAGAAACAGCGTGCTAGACCTAGAGTTTAAAGAGTTGTTTGGCAAGACTCTCCCTTGCACCCCAAACAATGAGGCCTAGTTCCTGCCAAATCAATCAGAATAGAGCTGGAAGGGACTTGGAGGTCTGCTAGTCCAGTCCTTTCAGTTTATTTTTCACTGCCACGCTCTTTGCACATGCATCCTAAAGCCACTTGTCCTTGTGCTTTATCAGAATTATCTTGTTCTTCTTTCTCATCTTCTCTCAATAACTCTTCAAAAGTTAGGAGTTGTCACTATAATTCTCTGGCGAAATGTAGGAAACGCTTCAATGTTATGAGACTTCAGCATTATGACTCTAACACCCTATTTTTGCCTTGTGAGATTAATTTTCCCCACCCACCCTTCCATGGGCATAAACTGTAAATTTTTGCATGTTTTTACAATAGACATTTGTGTGGTTTGTCACAAACAGTCTTCTCGCTTGCAATTCACTCTGTAGTGGTGAACTTTAAAAAAGAACAGATGCCTCATGTTTCTCCAAACCACCTACTATATCTCCAAATTTGTTTGTCAGCTCCTCCTATCTTTGAAAGTTTAACTGAATTCAACACCACCTATACCATCATTTGCAAATTCACAAAACCCATCTTTCCCATCCCACTTAATCTGAAGTGTCCTCACTGCTCTTTTAGTTAACAGTGTTCTGTGTTAATTTTAAGAAGGGCCCAATCACAATTGTCTTCGTGGAGGCTCGAATGCTGTGGCTTCTTTACAGCAGCCATTTCAGATTGTCATTTTTTTGGAACAAAGCACTTGAAGAGCACCACTTCGTCCCTGAAAATGTAATCATGGACCCTCTAGAATTTCTGCAAATCACGTGCATGACAAATAGCATCACATCCTATCTAATTATGGCTTGTTGATGTAACACACAATGTCTATACACACACTCACACACACAACAAATATTTGCCAAGAAATATACATGGAAGAATAATAAAAAAAAGGCATTGTATCAGTTCTGCTTGAAACCAGTCAAGCCTATTTTTTTTATTTCTTTTATCTTAAAAAAAACACACACAAAACACAATCACCTAGCCTTTAATGCTGGAAGTATACATGAATTTTACATAGGCTACGTCTACCGTTGTCAAAAATCCCCTCCCCACAAATCCCACCCAATTAACGTACAGATTGATACAGATTGATACGTAACATTAAACATTAAAACAGGCTTTTAAAGACATGGATGAGTCTAAGACCATTGAAGAACATCCCAATTAGAAGGCTAGGAAACTGGAATACAAGAATATCCTTTAGTCCAACAGAGATGTGGTCAGTGAACGTGGAAAGTAAACGGAGCAGGTTTCATGTTATGGCATCTGGTTATCCTTTTCAGAATGATATACTTTTTGGTATAAGGCAACAAAAGTGTTGAGGCAAATGTTAGCTCAACAACTCTTCTCATATCCCAGCAAGTCAAGTCTTCATAATTGCTTCTATCCCAAGTAATATAAAAAGTGAGGCACAAATGTGTAATGTAATGGCTTCCTTTCAATCAGAGTGCTTTATTAACCCAGACTATCCTGATCCTTCCGTCCGTTTTTCTGAGAAGTTTTTCAAGAAAGAAATATGGAAGCAACAAGAAATACCAGAAATGCTTTTTACTCCTTTTTACTCTAGGAATGTCTTCATTTTTAGGAATAGGGCAAAGGAAAGGGCTAGGGTTAGAGATGGATAAATAATATTGTACAAAAAACATGTATTTTAATACCAATTATTTAATTATGAAGGCAAAGATTCTGAAATGAATATTGTAATGTTGCTAGACCACATGTACTGAATAGTGCCAAGAAGGCAACAAATGTATAATTAGGTATTGAACAAAAGTTGCAAAATAGCAAATGGTTCAACCACTGCTTAACAGTAGTAGGAGACTGATGGTAAAATTAGAGCAAAGTCAATCACGACAAACAAATAGTAAGATTTCTACTTTTATGTAGCAGGATCTCCCTCAGAATGACCTATGTTGATCTCATGTCTAGTCAATGGACAGATGAATCATACTCCTATCATTAATATCCTGAATCTGTCTAAGTCAGACTTATCTGCCTTTGAAAAAAATGCAGCCACTTAAACTCGAACAACTGTTTTTTACAGGCAAATTTTAGAACTGGATTCAATTTCAGCAAATTAGTAAGATTCAGCTCATGGGAGCTTACTAGGCAAATTCCCGTAACACAAATGTTGTATTGCCTTTTTGAAACTAGTATTTTTTTTTCTTTCCTGTTAAAATCTTTTCAACACAAATTGTATGGTTAATTTCTACATACTAGATTCTCACCTACATCCTCAAACCACATTGTAATGGAACATGTAAGAATTACTAAAAATGATGTAGTTAAATTCTCTTGATCATCAATTGCTTTAAAACCTGCATGGCTATACATGAGAAGCTAACACTTTTTGGCATGTTCTCACTTCAGCTATTTCTATGAAATTTAAAAAAAAAATTAAAAGACAAGCACACACTTTATTTTCATCATGCTTGTCCATTTAAGTATACAGAAATAATGAGTAGGAAAAAAGTGGCCCCTGCATAGTTTTGAAGAACAAGTTCCACATGGATATCTTCATATTTATGACTCTTCTGCATCTTGGCTGTAGCTCCAAAATTGAAATACATCTTATTAAATGGCTCTTGACATCATGCATTGTTAGATCCAGTTCACATCACCAAAAATGCCATAATCTGTCACTAGTTGACCAGAATTTAAACAGGCTTTTGCCTAAGATAATTCAAACAATCCACATAGCTCTTAGGAGTGTGCCGTTCTTTTAGGCTGGCTGCATGTTTCAAAAGACATTGCCAATTTAGCTTTCTGAAAAAGCTCTCACAGCAAAATGTATGGGGAAGAGATAACAGGGCTGAGGTAAATCCTTCGTAAATTTCCTTTAGTTCAACTTCGTTAAAAGACTAGAAAAACTGAGTCTGAGCCTGGAAGGCTCCCAATCTGTTACCTTCTATATTTAGAAAAGATGGAACAAAAGTGAGACGGGTCAGAAGACTTCGTGGCAGATGTAGATAAAGGTTTGATAGTGCAAGTCTCAAAGATGCAGCACCAACCATATGGACATGGATAACCTGTATGTCATGCCCCCGACATTTACTGAAACGCGATTAAGATACTGAAAAATCCAAGTGAGACAGAGATCTGCCTCGCAGAGAGAGTACACTGAACTTCATTAGCAAGTCTTCAAAAACATGGTGCTTACATAAAAACACTCGCTGTCATATAAAAGGGAGCTACGGCAGATGCATTGTTCATATCAGAGGAAAATACAGAGACAGAAGACTAAAATAATGAACAATAACAACTGGGATGGCTCTTTGCACCTAAGTACCTATTGTGGAATCGTATTACCTATAGATTCTCCTTGCCATGAAGCTTCTTAGCCCATGATTATATTTAGTGACGTTAAATGGCACGTGACACTGAAAAAGAAAAGTGGCTCTTCTTCCCTTTTTCCTTTTTTCTGTGAACATTGTTCAAGAAACGACTTACCTACAGAAGGAAGAGTAGCCTAGGTATAATACTACATAATGGCATGTTTCCTCTTGCCATTCATTTCGGAGACATACCCAAATTGGAATGTTTCGTATCCCAGATACTTTGCTTTTTGTTGTTTCGAATAGAGTTGGGCCTTACGAAGAACTATAAATACGCTAATTAAATACCGTAATACTAAAACAGGGATTGTTGAGCTGTTGTAATGCAAAAGCAACAACAGGACTATGGCTTTTTTCGGAGATAATTGGAAGGAATCCAGCCTTCCCAACACGGCCCTGCTGCGAGGACTTTGCAAAACCACCAGCCACTGCTATTCTTCTCACGGACTTCAAATACAGTCCCTTCTTTAAAACTGCTAGTTTCTTCATCTCCTTCAAAATCTGCCACAGCCACGTAGAGGGCTTCTTTGGGGACATCCAGGTTGGCAATTGGAACGGATGCTCTTTCCTTCTCCACAGACTTGGGCAATGACTTTTGGCCTGAGCTGCTTTTGGTTTTGGTTTCCTCTTGGCCAGGACACGGTAGGAAGGCTTTGGCTTTTGGTGGAACCAATATTGGCCTACTGGACACTGGGACAGCTCGAACGTCAGGCACTTCCTTCTGGGCGGCTTTATGTTCTGCAGGGGGGGCAAATGAAGCCGAGGGTGCTGGCACACTAGATTTCTTAGGAGGTGGAGGCCTTCTAGGAGGTACTACTGGACGTTGAGGGGGTTCCCTGGGTACCGGAAAGCTGCTCTTGGGTTCATTTTCACCTGGCTTTGATGAACCCACAGGAACTTTGGGGAAAGGAGCCTCCTTAAAGATTTGGCTGTCAGGTCTAGAGGGAGGTCTAATCTCCACGTTTGGCTTTTCCTGAGATTTGACAGAAGGTTCTGCTGGAAGTCCACTGTTACTGAAGGCACTCTCATTAACCACGGGGTCCTGCTCTGACAGCCTCTCTTGAGCCTTTGCAGGCTTGAGTTTGCTCCTCAGGTTGCAAAGATCTAATTTATTCTCTGACTGAGGAGGGTCTGTCCTAGGGGCAGGTGCTGGCTTCGGTTTGATCTGAGGTTTTGATTTCAGAAAAAGGTTCGGGGTAGCTGCCTCAGGCTTATCCTCCGGGGGCTCCATCTTTGGTTTCATTGGCTTGACTATGGGCCGGAGATTGGGCTTCTTTATTTCTTTTGGAGAAACCTTATGACCACACTCAAGGCCCATTTCATTTTTCAACTGGAACAATTTGCCCTTCTCTGTTTTAAGCTCTGGCTTCTTGTTGTCCCTCGGAGGGACGGCCTGCTTTGGAGGAATTCCAGGTAAAATCATGCCAGGAGGCTTTGGAGGTGGCCGCTGCTCCAACCTTTGCCTCTCCATTAACTCCTCTTCTGACTTAATTATGGATTCCTTCCTTGGAGGAAGACTGGGTTTCTCTTCCATATCCCGATCGCCTATTTCCTCATACCCGACGCACAAAGAGGCATCACTGTTCTCAGGCAAAGCATCCTGGGATGTCTCCTTTCCTTTCCATTTGATTCCATATTCAACACCATTAGGGGGTGCTTCAGGCAGAGGTCGAGATGGCCCAGCAGGGTCTCCATTAGAGCTGTTCTCTGCTGTGCTGTCACCAAGCCGGAGCTGTGCTATTTCGTTTGGTAACGGTGCCAAGAAATTAGGTCTACTCGCATTGCTAGTTTTCTTGTATTTGTCAATGAAAGTAGCCGGCGCCCAGCCTTCCTTCTCTTCAATTTGAATATACCACCAACCACTTAGGTTCTTCTCAATTACCTGGAAAAGGAAATAAAGCCACCATTCTTTAGAACTTTACAACAACTGCATTATCTAAAATTTGCGAGATTTAAGTTTAGCATTAAGAGTTTAACCGGTCCTCTTCCCACCTCATGTTCCATATAACAAACAAGCAGCCATCTATTTTCAGCCTACAGATTCATCACCATAATCTGTTGTCAAGGTGGTTTACGGTGATAAATCTGTAGTTTGAAAATGAATACGTAGTGTGACCAAATCAATCAATCCTAAAGGAAATCAACATTGTTCTTTGGAAGGATAGATACTGAAACTAAAGTTCAAACACTTTGCCCCTCAAATCAGAAAAGAGGACTCACTGGGAAAGACCGTTGGGAAAAATTGAAGACAAAAGGAGAAAGGGGTGGCAGAAGATGAGATGGTTACGTAGTCATTGAAGCAATGGGCATGAGTTTGGGCAGACTCAGGGAGACAATGGAGGATAGGGGTCTGGAGTGCTACGGTCCATGGGGTGGCGACACAACTCAGGGACTGAACAAAAACAAACAAGCAAAAATCACATCCTAAACCAGTGAAAATCACTGAACAAAAACAAACACGCAAAAATCACATCCTAAACCTTTTAGAGACCGAGTGCCCAAACTGCAACCCAAAACCCACTTATGCATCATCGAGTGCCAGGTGGGTGGCCCATTGGCTGGGTGTTGCCAATTGGGTGGGTGTGGCCCATTGGGTTGGCGTGGCTGCAGTGGTAATGGCAGACTGGGTGGGACTAAAAAGTTCAATCAATCAATTCCAACTTTGCAAGATTTTTTTTCCCCGCAAGAAGTTGAAATTGACTGATTGAACTTTTTTTTTTTTTTTTGCACATGGCGGCGGAGGCCTAAAGCGAAAAGGTTTTATAAAACCCAGCTGAAGGCCTAGGACTGGGGCGACAGTGCGTGTGCCCACCGAGAAGGCTCTGAGTGCCGCCTCTGGCACCCGTGCCATAGGTTCGCCACCACTGTCCTAAACAGTGAGTGCTTTCCATTTCATTGATTCTAACTCTACAGCACTGACCCAGGATAATAAAAGATCAGATTCTCAATTTGGTGTCATTTTACTCTCTGCAGCATATATAATAATTATTTAATAAAGACATGATTCTTAGCATTTGTCATCATCTAAAATTTAAATTAAGTAGTTGACAAAATTTGCATATTTCTTATGTGCGCACCTTTACATTCTGCTTGATAGACTGGTTGCTACTGAGTCCATCTGGACACCTTAAGGTTCAGAGGAGCACATCCAGCTTTTGTACAATACAGGGCATGACCAGAGTTCTAATGATGCAAGCCCAAGGGAGAACCAAGCATTTCCAGATGACTTATGCTACTGATCGTGAAATGAGCGGTTTTCCTGAATGATTACGTATCTAAGCATGGGCAGGGAATCCAAAGAAGTGGTGGCAGCTGACTTCTGCCTGAATCTTTGATATGACGAGAAAATAAATAGTCACTAGAGGTCAGTATTGAGCCATCTGTAAATGTGCATTGCCTGGATACCAGAGAAGAGGCAATACATTTCTGAATTTTAAAACCAGGACTATTTTAAAGGGAGGACATTGTCCTATAATTTAAGAGTGTGTGGATGGCAGATAATGATAAGATCTCCACTTTCTCAAGTTAAAAATATGTGTAATGGAAGCACAGAAAATTTGCCTTTCTTGTAATGCATCTTTCCCCAGAGCTACTGGTTGAGGTCAAGGAGGATAGCCCTCTTGTATTTATTTATAAAGTCACATAAGGGCACGAGTCTAAGTAGAGTCTTAGAACTACATTCTGTAGGTAAACCTTTCCCAGTTTCATTTGTTCAAACAGCTTCTGTTCTTATCAAATTTAAATGAAGGGAAGCAGCATCTTGTTTCCTGCAATATATTTCTGACTCAAGTAGATGAGATGGAAACAGTTGCAACAAAGAAAAACTTCATTAGAAAACTATGATTAAAATAAAAATACATAGCTTATTAGAAGCTGACAACACTACAGGTAGTGCTTGACTTACGAATGTAACAGAGCCTGTCAATCACATTTGTAACCCGAGGAATTCGTTAATGGGAATGCTTTACCCAATGCATTTGCTAATCGAATGAGGCATCTCAGGGTGGGGAAGAACCTGGAGGGGCCTACTGCTTCCGACCACCGGAAGGCCTCCCCCCAGCCACTGAGATATTTCATGCTTCCCCCCCATCCTGCCCCCACCGGGTCTCCACAGGCACTGGGTCTGTGGAGTCTCACTTAACTTTTGAAGATCTCAATGATCAAGTGAGCTATGTCCTCTCCAGCCTCTCTGCCGCGGTTTCTTTGCCTGAGTCCCTGCAGACTCTGGTCGTCTTTGCAAAAAGCTTTTGACATGAAGAACGGAGACCAGGAGGGACGTGCATGCTGCTCCCGGCCTCCGTTCTTGCCGCAAAAGCCTTGAGCAAAGGCTTGCCGAAGCCTGCAGGGGTGAGATATTACGTCCATGCAGGGTCCAGTTGTCTTTGCAAAAAGCTTTTGACATGAAGAACGGAGACCAGGAGGGACGTGCATGCTGCTCCCGGCCTCCGTTCTTGCCGCAAAAGCCTTGAGCAAAGGCTTGCCGAAGCCTGCAGGGGTGAGATATTACGTCCATGCAGGCTCCAGTTGTCTTTGCAAAAAGCTTTTGGTGCAAAGAATGGAGGCCGGGAGGGGGGAGGTGCATGCATGGCGCCCTGGCCTCCGTTCTAGGCGGCAAAAGCTTTTTGCAAAGATGACCGGAGCCTGCAGGGACGCAGGTTCTCTCACCCATGCAGGCAAGGAAACGGCAAATAGATGGAAGGCCTGAAACACTGAAGTCTCCCATCTGTTTGCAAAGCCTTTTGGCGCAGATCTAGTTCAGGTCTCCATCTGCAGAGAATGGAGGCCTGAAGTAACGCGAGATCATGTGAGATTAGTGGCGAATTCTCTGCAAATGCACGGAAGGCCTGAAGCACCCAAGCAGGCAAAGAAACTGCAGCAAAGAGGCTGGAGAGGAGACAGCTCGCAGCCTTCCATCCTTCCAAGATCGGTAAAATGAGGAGCCAGATTGTTGGGGGCCATAGGCTGACTCTGTAAACCGCTTAGAGAGAGGGCTGTAAAGCACTGTGAAGCGGTATATAAGTCTAAGTGCTATGGCTATTGCTAGATCTGTGGCAAGGCCCAGTGCCTGTGGAAATCTGGAAGGGGGAGGAGGGGGAATAGGCAGGGGGAATATTGCAGTGCCTTTGCGGTCATTCCTAAGAGCGAATGACTGCCGTGGTGATGCAACATTTGTAACCTTGGGACTGTGTTATAAGTACTGGGGGGGAGTGATGTAACTTTGAACGATCACTAAGTGAACTGTCATAACTGGAGGATTACCTGTATTCCGTTGCAAAAGGCTTTTCTTCTAAAGTGAGTTTTAAAGGGAGCTCTGTGGAAAAAGCCAAGGATTATGGAGATGGGCCTGACAAGACTTAGTCTCACCTCTACTTTCAGTCCTGCCTGGAAGCTGATCCCATCAGGGATGGTGGTCTGGAAATCAGCAATGGTGTAATACTCTTCCTCCACCTGGGGGGGCACTGGAGGCTTTGGCAGATTGACACACCGTTTCTATTACAAGAATATTAAAAATATGCATTAGTCATCTTCCTTATACAAAAAGCAATTCTTTACACATGAGGCATTCCAGCCTCCATCTGCAGGATCTGCAGGGTCACAAAGCAAGCGAGCCCAAGGAGATGACAAGCCCCTAACACATTTTTCAGCACGGCCCCTGCAGAACAAGAGATGAAATGTTTCTGCGGTCAGTTCCAACTCTGAAATCAAAGTCGTGCGTTTATAGAAAATCAGCTTTTTTGGTGGTGCTCAGAAGCAAAGCTAAGTAGAAATAAAAGTGGGGTCTGTGGTTTTAGAGTTTAAACCTGCATTAATTGTATACGGCAAAGTTATTCAATATTGGAAAAATCAGTTGGATTGCAGGTACAAATTCCAGAAACAGACTTCTTGCTATGACAGCTATCCAAGCCACACAAGTAAAAACTGTGATTGCATCCCATTCAGTTAATTGCCTTGGGAACAAAGCTCATGCCATGTTGAACCTTATTTACTCCTTATATGTTCAAAGGAAAAAGCAAGTTAGATGTGCCAATTTCCTCCTTAATTGACATATCTATAACAATGCTTTGGACATGGCGATTTATGCTGACATAAAAGAGGTAGCAAGACCTGTATCTCTTTTATCGTCCCAACATCTTTCATTTCATCTGATAAGTTGTAGTCAGACTGCTTAAATGCATCAGGAAGCAACACTTACTATTGAGAGATCTCGACGCGGAGGGGGTCTTTGTCTCATCTTTGGTGACTCTGTCAAAACAGGTATTTAAATGTGCTTCAAAGATATCAACGTGTGCTTCAGAAAACATTTGTGAACAACACCCCATTACTCCAGTCCAAGAAAGTACGTCTATAGCAGTGGTTCTCAACCTTTTTAATGCCGCGACCCCAACCGGTCGTAAGTCGAGGACTAAACCGGTTGTAAGTCGAGGACTAAACTGGTCGTAGGTCGAGGACTACCCAACCGGTCGTAAGTCGAGGACTTTCCCTGCCCGGGAGCACCGCACATGCGTGGTTCCGCCCCCTGCGCCGGCCGAGGCGTAGCTGGCAAGCAGCAGAGACGAAGCAGGCCGACCACCAGCTGGCCCAGCCCAAGGGAGGTAAAGCACCCGCCGGAAAAGGGGAAAAAAATGGCGGACAAAAAAAATGGCGGACAGCCTTGCTTGGCGACCCCCATGAAATGGTCGATCGACCCCAAATGGGGTCCCGACCCACAGGTTGAGAACCACTGGTCTATAGCTTTTCTGTCTGCTTTTCCCCATGAGCAGCACACCCAGGTAGCTCCCTTCATTCATTTTAATCTCGATGGTGATTCATCTAACCAGGGTTTTAGTACATCCCTGGAAGTTTTTAAGAAGAGACTTGGACAGCCATTTGCCTGAAATGGTATAGAGTCTCCTGCTTTAACGGGGTTGGACTAGAAGACCTCCAAGGTCCCTTCCAGCTCTATTCTGATTGATTGATTGATTGATTGAAGATCTTGGATCAGATGCCCTAAGCATTCCACTGAGTCCCACAGAGGCTGGGTGGGGAAGGGGAGAAGGAAGGGAGAAAGAAAGCAGATGAGGTTTTCCTTCATAGATAATCTAGGAACAGTGGTGGCGAATGTATGGCACGGGTGCCAGAGGCGGCATTCAGAGCCCTCTCTGTGGGCACGCGTGCCGTCCCCCCAGTTCTAGGCCTTCAGCTGGGTTTTATAAAACCTTTTCGCTTTAGGGCTCCGCCGCCATGTACAAAAAAAAAAGGTTCAATCAATCAATCAGTTTCAACTTCTCGCGGGAAAAAAAAAGATCTTGCAAAGTTGGAATTGATTGATTGAACTTTTTAGTCCCACCCAGTCTGCTGTTACCACTGCAGCCACGCCCCCATGGGCCACACCCAGCCAATGGGCCACACCCACCCGGCACCCGGCAGTGCATAAGTAGGTTTTGGGTTGCAGTTTGGGCACTCGGTGTCTAAAAGGTTCGCCATCACTGATCTAGGAACAGTGGAATGCTTGTTTGTATCCCTTGATGGAAACATGTAATACCCAGACATCCATTACAAATGTTTGAGGAGGTGGCCTTGAAGGATGGGAGGAAAAGCTACTACCAAGGCAATGGTCAGATAAGCAGGGCTTGAGCCTCAGCCAAGGAAAGAATGAGCCCCTCCCTTGTTCACATGAAGGGAGCAGTGGGGCGCGGGGAGACACAGTTAGACTTGCAAGATACAGTTGCAATAAAAGTAGTCCTAAGCTATATGGCATTAGTTTCTTAGCCTGGTCAACCTGTTAGGGTTAACATTCAGCCATCCCATAGATTTGTTATCTATGGCCCAACCAATTCTACGTCAGAGGAGCAAAAAGTTGGGAAAGGTGAGGATTTAGCATTAAAGAGACATAACTGGAGTCCAGAACCATAAAATAAGAAGCCTTAATACTCTATAGAATAATACTCTATTCCTGGGGAAGCTGGCAGCGAGTCAAAAGTCATGTTCATATGAGGTCCTTGCTTAATGACCCACACGGTCCTTGTTTAACAATGGAAGTCAGGACCGCTGAAATTGCCATTGCTAAGCCATGCAATCACAGACCATTGCACTTTATGACCCCATTGTTTAACAATGGAGTTCCCAGTTCGAATTGCTGTTGTAGCCCGAGGACTACCCATACAACAGAATTGCATAAAATTCAGAAAATAATACCAAACAGTATCATCAAATGAAATTTTTACCATAAGAGGATGAAAAATTCATTTGTTCATTTTAATCATTTTTATTAAAAAAAATTTTTTAGCAAAGTAAATGCTGTAAGGGAAAATAAAATAATAAAGGAGAACAGTCAATAATAACTTTGGGCCACTCATTTTTTTTTTCTCGGCACAACCCATCACACAGGATTATTGTTGTGGGGGAAAAGAGGAGGAGGAAGAAGGATTAGGTATCTTGCCGCTTTGAGTTATCAATAAAATATCTGTTCCGTATTCTCAATATGCAACTTCCAATGTAAAGATTCTTAAAATCTACACTAGCCTTAACTTTATCCTATCAAGAAAACCATGCCAGGATGGAAAATGTATTGACTACTTTGAGTGTAATTGGATTAACTAGTCCAATTTAAGTTGGCGTGAATTTAAAATTAGATCAAATTTACTATTTGTTCTGACTTAATTACCACTGGACTGAAAGAACTCCTGAATGCCAGTCAAAAGCAAAATGCAACCCTCAGTTCAAGGAAAAAATGGATAACGGGTGGAAGCTAACCAAAGAGAGAAGCAACCTAGAACTTCCTGACAGTTAGAACAATTAACCAGTGGAACAACCTGCCTCCAGAAGTGGTGAATGCGCCAACACTGGAAGTTTTTAAGAAGAAACTGGACAGCCATTTGTCCAAAATGGTATAGGGTTTCCTGCCTGAGCAGGGGGTTGGACTAGATGACCTCCAAGGTCCCTTCCAACTTTATCATTATTATAACCCAACTCTAGAGCCATGGAGATTCCTTGCTTTTACCTGATTAACCAATTTTCTTCAGAAAGCATTAAACACTTTCTTCGCTGTCCCCAACTTACTTCGTTGAAGGTCCACGTTGGGCAAGGGGCGACCATCATATCTTCCATCTCTTTGATTACTCGGTCCATCCTTGTCTCGACCCGGGGAGTTTTGCTGTCGAGAAAGTCCATCCATATCCAACGGGTGTGAATGGGCTGAAGCTGCAGATCCCAGTTTTGATGTAAGTAGGTCTCCACTCCCTCTTTTCAGGTAAGATGCTGGGGCCCAGCCCTCCTGACCCTGATATCTAAAGAAATAGAAATAATCTGAAATAGTCTAATTTTTTTTACTATGAGCAACAAATTCCCAACACAGGCAATCTCATCCATAGCAACGCCCAAAAGCAAAACCGGTGTTCCAAATTCAGTTTTAAGATGATAATCTGAATCAGAATGTTAATTTTTTTTTATTTTGCTTAGAGATATCAAAACAATTACAAAACGAAAATTAGAATATTTCGGACATGTGATGTGACACCCAGAAAAATACGGCACACTCCATTTAATCCTCCAGGGAAAAATTGAAGGCAAATGAGGTCCAGGCAGAAGAAGAACATCATGGCTTCAAAATCTAAGGGACTGGTTTGGACAAAACTCAGCAGCACTTTTTCGTGCGGCTGCTGGTAAAAACAGGATCGCCAACATGATCACCAACGTCCGATAACAGATATGGCAGAAGAAGAAGAAGAAGAAGAAGAAGAAGAAGAAGAAGAAGAAGAAGAAGAAGAAGAAGAAGAAGAAGNGAGGAGGAGGAGGAGGAGGAGGAGGAGGAGAAGATATCTGGCACATATTTTCCCAAAATGTTGGGTACCTTGCAAGTTCTTAACAATAAGTAAACATCTCTATTTGTAAAGCTGCTTAATTTTTTTACCCACTGTTTCACATAAAGAAGCTCAAGAGGTTGTGAAGACAAAAGCACAAAAGAATTTGTAACGCGCAATGTTGTGATAATCAGAAGTGAACAGATGGAGCACAACAAACTTTCCCAGCACATGGGAATCGGTCTCTCTTTGCAAGATGGTGCAGCATCAAGCATAGTAACTAACAAGATTAGAGAAGATATCAAGCTGATTAATTGGTACTAATCATCAACTATCAAAAGTCTTTTGTAATAACAAGACTTAGACAAAGGTTCAGCCAGTAACACATTCTGGAAGCCTATACTGAAGCTTTCCATCAGAGTACACTGAGTTTATTTGGGGGGGGGGAGGGAACAGTACAATATCTGAGCCCTCCAATCTTCTCAGCACAACCCATTGTTCTTTTTACAGATACAATGAATTTACGCTGAGGCAACAGACCATCTCTTCATAATTCTGTGAGGATTTCCCTTTATAAAATGCTGAAGGAAACCTAGGACCAAATTGAAAAGTTTTTGCATACCTACTACTTTTCTTCAAAAACCAGATTTATTTATTTTTCTGAAGCAGAATAAATGTTATGGAGTGCCTATCTCTATGCAAGTAGTCCTCAACCTACGAACACAATTGAGCCCAAGGTTTCTGTTGCTAAGTGAAACATTTTAAAGTGAATTTTGCCCCATTTTTATGATCTCTCTCACCACAGTCGCTAAGTGAATCTGGCTTCCTCATTGACTTTGTCAGAAGGTTGCAAAAGGGGATCCCATGGCCCCGGGACACTGCAACCTTCTTAAATATGAATCAGTTGCCAAGCGTCCGAATTTTGATCCCATGACTATGGGGATGCTGCAACGGTCGTAAGTGTGAAAAGCGATCATAAGTCACTTTTTTCAGTGCCATTATAACTTTGAACACTCACTAAATGAACTATAGTAAGTTGAGGACTGTCTGTACTTGAAAGTTATTCTCCTATCCCTTCACTGAGGAAAACTGCAAAAACAATGGAATAACTCAGGTATTGTGACCTAAAGTCTCTCCTTCCCATTAATGCCTTTTGAATCATGACTGGAAATATACCTGATTTTCCACCAGCCCTCCAGATTTTTTTGGATCACCTCCACTGTAGCTCCTTTGTCCAGGTTTATTTCATCTTGATCCCGGGCAGCATATGGGTAGATCACCATATACTTCTCTATTCAAAGAGAAATATAGCAGTAAAAGAGAGAAAGAGAGAGAAAGAGGAAAAAAAGATAAATAATAATTGGGAAGACATCAATTTTTTCTAAAAAATAGAACTAATCTGAAAATCCACACATTTTAGATAATTTGGCACAATAGAGTCGAATCTACTGAATATGGTTGATTCTGTCCTTTTGACATAAAAGCTCACCAAAGGCTCAACATCACCTTTGAAAGACAGATTTTCATAATTTATAATAAAACTCCTCAAGCCTACTGCAGCCCTACAATGGCTTTCAAATAACCTCTAATCGAAGCAGGCACATAAAAATGGTTATTTATGGAATCTGATAATCCAGAAAATAATGTGATGATATGTTTTTTGTTTGACGGATGATCAAGTAGTTCTACATGATCTATTTTTTCACTTATTCCAAGTGTCAGAGACAAAGTACTAGATGTTTCAATACAGATGTCATTTTAGCAATCTTGATCAGGACCAATGACAGTTCATTCAAATGAACTATTCATGTGAACAATGGAATAAGAGACATATCTCTTGTAGGCTGAAATGCTATGCAATTATGTCATCCGTTTCCCTCAGGTATCCTGGAAGTAGGCTTGACATAGCTGCAGTAATTGCTGGCCCATATTAAGGTTGCTTTCCCAGTAATTAGTTCTTCTTCTGAAGAACTCACAATTAAACCTTTCAAATAATGCAAAAACTTCCTTTACTGTATCTCCATCAGCTACTAATGCCCAATTCTTAGGTTATTCTGTAGGAAGTGAATCTGAAATGGCCCTCTATGCAAATACTAAGGATTGTTTTTCAGAGAATTGCAGACACAGTTCAGAGATTGTTTAGTGTAAAACTATCTCTAAAAGGGAAAATGAAGCACAGGTTATGCTAAAGCACAAGAACATCATGTCAATGGAAAAAGGCTACTCCTTTACAAAATAGAGGGAAGGTGATCTTATACTGAACACCCACAAAGTACCGTATTTTCCGGCGTATAAGACGACTGGGTGTATAAGACGACCCCCAACTTTTCCAGTTAAAATATAGAGTTTGGGCTATATCAGGGGTAGGCAACCCAAAACACTCAAAGAGCCACTTGGACACGTTTCCCACCGAAAACAAAACACTGGGAGTCGCAAAACCCTTTTGATATCTAAAATGAAGATAAGACTGCATATATCCTTTTTTACCTTTATGATGTGTGTGTGTGTGTGTATGTTTGTGTGTGTATATGTAAAATAAAGGTAAAAAAGGATATATGCAGTGTTATCTTCATTTTAGATGTCAAAAGGGTCTCTCTCTCTCTCTCTGTTTCTCTTTCCTCTCTCTCTCTTTCCTTTCTTTCCTCTCTCTCTTTTTCTCTTTCCTCTTTCTCTCTTTCCTCTAACTTTCTCTCTCTCTCTTTCCTCTCTCTTTCTCTGTCTCTCTCTCTTTCCTCTTTCCTTTCTCTTTCCTCTCTTTCCTCTCTTTCCTCTTTCCTCTCTTTCTCTTCTCTTTCCTTTCTCTCTTTCCTCTCTCTTTTCTCAATCTTTTTTCTCTTTCCTCATTTTCTCTTTCCTCATTTTCTCTCTTTCCTCTCCCCCTCTTTCTTTCTCTTTCCTCTCTTACTCTCTCTCTTTCCTCTCCTTCTCTCCCTTTCCTCTCTTTTTCTCTTTCCTCTCCCCCTCTCTCTTTCCTCTCCCTCTTTATCTCTTTCTCTTTCCTCTCTCTTTCCTCTTTCCTCTCTCTTCTCTTTCTCTTTCTCTCTCTTTCCTCTTTCTCTCTTTCCTCTCTCTTCTCTTTCTCTTTCTCTCTTTCCTCTAACTTTCTCTCTCTCTTTCCTCTCTCTTTCTCTGTCTTTCTCTTTCTCTTCCTTTCTCTTTCCTCTAACTTTCTCTCTTTCCTCTCTTTCTCTTTCTCTTCTCTTTCCTCTTTCTCTTTCTCTTCTCTTTCCTCTTTCTCTTTCCTCTTTCTCTTTCCCTCTTCCTCTCTCTTTCTCTTCTCTTTCTTTCCTCTTTCTCTTTCCTCTCTCTCTTTCTCTTTCCTCTTTCTCTTCTCTTTCTTTCCTCTTTCTCTCTTTCTCTCTCTCCCTCTCCCTCCAGGTTAGGAGAGAGAGAGAGAGAATGAAAGGCAGACGGCGCCGAACGGGCGGGGAGGGGGACCAGGCCGGGAGGCAGCGGCTCTAGTGGCAGCAGCGGCGGCACGGCAGCGGCCACTGCAGCATCGTCGGGAGTCCACGCCACCCCCAGCCTGGCCGCCGCATCCTCAGCTGAATGGGCGGGGAGGGGGAGCAGGATGGAGCCGCTGCCCCCATCGTGTCCTCAGCTGAATGGGCGGGGAGGGGGAGCAGGACGGGAGGCAACAGCTCCCGGCCACCACCCCATCGCGTCCAGGGAGGGGGAGCAGGACGGGAGGCAGTGGCTCCCAGCTGCCACCCCCATCGCGTCCTCAGCTGAATGGGTGGGGAGGGGGAGCAGGACGGGAGGCAACAGCTCCCGGCCGCTGCCCCCATCGCGTCCAGGGAGGGGGAGCAGGATGGGAGGCAGTGGCTCCCGGCTGCCACCCCCATCGCGTCCTCAGCTGAATGGGTGGGGAGGGGGAGCATGACGGGAGGCAACAGCTCCCGGCCGCCGCCCCCATCGCATCCAGGGAGGGGGAGCAGGATGGGAGGCAGTGGCTCCCGGCTGCCACCCCCATCGTGTCCTCAGCTTATATAAAGGAATAAAATAGAATACCCGTATTTTCCAGCATATAAGACGACTGGGCGTATAAGACGACCCCCAACCTTTGAGAAGATTTTCAGGGTTTAGAAAGTCGTCTTATACAGGAACAGGAGGAACAGACTCAGGCTCAACCCTTCCAAGACCGGCTCAACCCTCAACCCTTCCAAGACCAGGCTCAACCCTCAACAGGAGGAACAGACTCAGGCTCAACCCTTCCAAGACCGAGTGGCTGTGGTTGCCGGCGTCTCGGTATGGTCAGCTGACGCCATCGCTGACTATAGGGGGCGAATCTTTGGCCCCCTCAGAGAGGGCGCGCAACTTGGGAGTCCTCCTGGATTCACGGCTGACTTTGGATGACCATCTGTCGGCCGTGACCAGGGGGGCGTTNGTATATAAGCTTTCCAAATGATGTCAGCTAACATCTCTAAAAGACTGTACTATCTGTGCTCAGTGCTCCTCAACCTACATTGCTTTCCCATTTCTACATATGCCCAGTGTATAGACTGGAATCAATTCAATGGAAATCATTTTAATACAGATAAACCATTGGTAGCAGTGTCTGATATTTCATCAAAACATTTCCACTTATGATACTGTAACAGGTCAGGGTATTTTAAGATAGAATTTCAACTGCCATTTTAGAGTAAGCATTTTGGATTTGCAGGATTTATATGTCCAGGAGAAACATGGGATTATGAGTAAATTACTCCCATCCAGATGCTTGGGCCTCACTTCCCATCAGCCACAATTAATATGGTTAATGCCAATAGACTGTAAAAGAGGTGATTTAAAATGTCAGGATGGCATACGATTCCTTACTTTCTGCCTGCCGGTTCACAGGAACACTATTTAGGACTCTATGATGTCTATTGCAGCCCCAGTAATTAAGTGGCGGATGGAGTTTTACATTTAACATGCAGATTAAAAAGAAAGAAAGATAAAAATGCATTTAACTCTGGTTAGGACCAAATAAAATACAATTTACCCAAGAGTAGAAATTCGCATAACCGGGGACTCAAGTAGTTTCACGGGAATGGAAAGGAGAACACACATACTCAAGTGTAAGCAGATTTAACAGTTACAATAAGCAATGTATTAAGGAAATAGACACTCTGGATATCAATACGAAATACATTGCATGCAACAATGGGCCACACTGGACAGCACATGCAAACATAGAAAAAGGTAGTCCAAAGCACAGAAGAAAGCACAAAGAGATCTCCACAACATCCACCTTGACCCCATCCACTGGTGTACAAGTCCCCAAGAGTCCGACGGCGACCAACATGTCTGGGAAGAGACCAGTATCTCCATGAGACTGAGTTGAGCATGTTGGGGGAAGCAGGAAAGGCACAAAACAGGATATAAGGAGGGAAAAGTTTACCTTTTTAAAAAGAAGATTTAATGCTATGATAAGGTTAACAATGACATGATCCACATACCACACTAAGCAATGATTTAACCACGATTTACCTAATACATCTCAGTTGAGACTGTTCAACACACAAAGTGGTTTTTACAGTATATAAATATGTCTTGTTTCCTCCTGGTGTACGGCAGAGACTTGAGCGGTTTGATTTAAAAGGGTACACTAAAATGCATCTCAGGGTTGTTGTTTTTTTCATTTAAAAAATAATCATAGTAAAACTTTAGGTTTTTTTACCCATCTTCAGTGCAACTGACCTTATACTCAGCAAATCAAATTTCCACTGCAATTTCTAACATTTGCTTTGCTTTAATTAAGTTCTATTATTAGGACTTTCCCCCTTTGTTCCTTAATAGAAAAACCTCCTGTTCACAAAGGACTTTTCTCAACAACAGACCCACGCACTGCTCCTCCATATCAGTCCATTAAAACAAGTTTTCACTCAGTTCATGCTGTACGTTCATGTGCATTCCCCATGAAAAGATGGGTTACTTTACAAATCGTCTTCAAAAGCACCATTTAAAAACTTTCTGTTCAAAGAATCAACAAAGTGGGCACACTGGAAAGGGCCTAGCAGATGCTTAATGTAATGTATTTTGCACAAAACAGATTATAAACTGTTTTAAAGCAATGGGACAGAGGATGCTTATAGGGTTTTTCAGTGTTAACCAGTACTACAACTATTGTTCAGATTCTATGCCCTGGGATAAGCATGAACTGGTCATCCGTTTTTTCATTATTTGTTGTTTGGAATTCATATGGGCATTAAGTCCTCGGCTTACAAGATTGTTTCGTGATTGCTCAAACTTACATCACTGAAAAAAGTGGACTTATGACTTATGACATAACCGTTACAGCCTCCTCATGGTCACATGATCAAAATTCAGGTGCTTGACAACCGACTCATTTTTATGACGGTTGCAGTGTCCCGGAGTCATGTGATCACCTTTTGCAACCTTCTGGCAAGCAAAGTCAATGGGGAAGCCAGATTCGTTTAACAACCATCTTATTAATTTAACAAGTGCAGTGATTCACTTAACAACTGTGGCAAGAAAACTCTCACTTTGCAACAGAAATTTGGAGCTCAATTGTGGTCGTAAGTCAAGGACTACCTGTATAGAGCCTGGGCTTTTTATGTCAAAGGCTGATGTAACTTTTGAATGGAAAAGCACTTGAATGTAAAAGTTGATGAAGGAGGAGCCCCTAACAAACCAGTCTCCTCTGCCAAAAATATCAAACTAAACGATGTCAATCTTTATGAGAACTTGCTATAGGCAAAAAAAAACCCATATAGGGACTCCCTTGAAAGTACTCTCTTGGCACTTTAATATTTAGTGTATTTTCTCTCTGAACATTATCCTGAATATTTTATGTGGGCTCAAGGGCCCCCCAAAATCTAAAATACGAAACAATTTGGGGCTATTCTGAAAGCGTCTTGATCTACTCCCACCTTCTTCAGTCTGCATTGAAAATTCATCCGGGGCACCGTCCTGGACCTCTAGGCATGTTGCGGGAACCCATCCTTGTTCATCCAATGTACTTACAAACCACCAGCCTAAAACATAAGGAAAAGAAGAGTTAGGCGGAGAGTCGCAATCCAGTGAAAATAAAGGTATGCTCTCAAAGGCATGCTGACATACTGGGTACATCATTTCACTTTTCCCCACTTTTAATTACTGTCTATTACAACTATAGTTATGCACTTGTAGAAATGATAGAATATATGCGAGCACGAAGCCGAAGACCCCAGCCTGAAGATGACGAGTGGGAGCTCGTCGAAACGTCGCCAAGATACTCTCAATCCTACACGGGAAAAGACCTGAATACGCCAAGACCTGCATATCTGTACCCGTGAAAATCTACGAAAACAAATATATATATTTGTTGTATATATACAGGTTGTATGATGTGTGTGAGTTCCGGCACCTTTTTTTTTTTTTTAAGAAAAAAAGCACTATATGTGTGTACCATTATATTGTACCACTATATATATATATATATAGTGGTACAATATAATGGTACACACACACACACACACACACACACATATATATATAGTACCATTCGATTTCAATCTAACTGAAGAAGGTTTCAATCTTCAGAATTCAAAGTGCAAGATTGCTGCCCCAGGAAATATTGCAGCATTTGAAGCTGAGGCAGTGAATGAAAACATGAAAACAAACAAAAAATGTTGAGAATCTAGTCCAATTCTATTGGTGTCCTCAACTTACAATCATCCGTTTATCAACCATTCAAAGTTACAATATCACTGAAAAAAGTGACTTAAGACCAATCCTCACACTTACAATTGTTGCAGCCAGGGCTTTTTTTCTCAGAGAAAAGGTGGCGGAACTCAAACCTGGCCACGCCCTCATCAAACCCTAGGACCGCCCCTTTAGAGAACAGGAATGCAAGTAAAATTTGGGAGGGGCTATTTCCGGTGCGGGAGGGGCTATTTCCGGTGCGGCCGGCCCGGAAAAAGGTGCCGGAACGCGGTTCCGCCGCGTTCCGGCT